TTTAAATTTGATTTCACATATCTTCAATTATCTAATAAAAAGAATAAAATAGAAATGCTGTAACTAAAGAAGGAAAGCTCGGCATGGTGGTATATACCTACAACCCTAGTAAACTGGGAGGCTAAGACAGGAGGATTGCAAGTTTGAAGCAAGCCTTAGCAATTAAGTCAGACCCAAAGCCACTTAGTGAGACTGTGTCTCAAAATAACAATAAGAACCAATAAAAAGTGCTAGGGATGTGGCTCCATGGTAAAGTGCCTTTGGGTTCAATCCCTGGTACCAAAAAAAAAAAAAAAGAAAGAAAGAAAAGAAAAGAAAAAAAATCAGCACAAATGTCAGTCTAAAGCCTGTTTTTAAAATAAACCTTATTTAATTGGCATATAGAGAACACTGCACAAAGTCACCAAGATAACAGAATTATACATTCTTTATAAGTACATATGAATCATTTGCCGGAACTGGTCATGTGCTGGGCTGCAAGGCAAACCTCAAAAAAATTTAAGAGACTAAAATCATACATAGTACATTCTTTGACCACCATTTAATTAAGCTATAAATCAATGACAAAAAATCGCTTGCTTCACATCCTAAACTAAGACTACAACAAAAAGATCTGCCAGTTTTCCTTGTAGAAAAGGATCCAAGATCATTTTATTTATTTATTTTTTATTGGTTGTTCAAAACATTACAAAGCTCACGACATATCATCTTTCATACATTTGATTCAAGTGAGTTATTAACTCCCATTTTTACCCCAAATACAAATTGCAGAATCACATCCTATACAGCGGAGTTTTACAAAACCTTCAAAGAAGAATTAATACCAATACTTTTCAAGCTATTTCAAGAAATAGAAAAAGAAGGAGCTCTTCCAAATTCATTCTATGAGGCCAACATTACCCTGATCCCAAAACCAGACAAAGACACTTCAAAGAAAGAAAACTACAGACCAATATCTCTAATGAACTTAGATGCAAAAATTCTCAGTAAAATCCTGGCGAATCGAATACAAAAGCATATCAAAAAAATTGTGCACCATGATCAAGTAGGATACATCTCTGAGATGCAAGGCTGGTTCAATATATAGAAATCAACAAATGTTATTCACCACATCAATAGACTTAAAGATAAGAACTATATGATCATCTCCATAGATACAGAAAAAGCATTCGACAAAGTACAGCATCGCTTTATGTTCAAAACACTAGAAAAACTAGGGATAACAGGAACTTACCTCAACATTGTAAAAGCTATATATGCTAAGCCTCAGGCTAGCAACATTCTAAATGGAGAAAAACTGAAGGCATTCCCTCTAAAATCTGGAAAAAGACAGGGATGCCCTCTCTCACCACTTCTATTCAATTTAGTTCTTGAAATACTAGCCAGAGCAATTAGACAGACAAAAGAAATTAAAGGCATAAAAATAGGAAAAGAAGAACTTAAATTATCACTATTTGTGGATAATATGATAATATTTCTAACAGACCCAAAAGGGTCTACAAAGAAACTGCTAGAGTTAATAAATGAATTCAGCAAAGTGGCAGAATATAAAATCAACACCCATAAATCAAAGGCATTCCTGTATATCAGCAACAAAACTTCTGAAATGGAAATGAAGAAAACCACTCCATTCACAATATCCTCAAAAAAAAAAAATAAAATACTTGGGAATCAACCTAACAAAAGAGGTGAAAGATTTATACAATGAAAACTACAGAACCCTAAAGAGAGAGATAGAAGAAGATCTTAGAAGATGGAAAAATACACCCTGTTCATGGATAGGAAGAACTAACATCATCAAAATGGCGATATTACCAAAAGTTCTCTACAGGTTTAATGTGATGCCAATCAAAATCCCAACGGCATTTCTTGTAGAAATAGATAAAGCAATCATGAAATTCATATGGAAAAACAAAAGACCCAGAATAGCAAAAGCAATTCTAAGCAGGAAGTGTGAATCTGGAGGTATAGCGATACCAGATTTCAAACTGTACTACAGAGCAATAGTAACAAAAACAGCATGGTACTGGTACCAAAACAGGCAGGTGGACCAATGGTACAGAATAGAGGACACACAGACCAATCCACAAAATTACAACTTTCTTATATTTGATAAAGGGGCTAAAAGCATGCAATGGAGGAAGGATAGCATCTTCAACAAATGGTGCTGGGAAAACTGGAAATCCATATGCAACAAAATGAAGCTGAACCCCTTTCTCTCGCCATGCACAAAAGTTAACTCAAAATGGATCAAAGAGCTTGATATCAAATCAGAGACTCTGCGCCTGATAGAAGAAAAAGTTGGCTCCGATCTACATATTGTGGGGTTGGGCTCCAAATTCCTTAATAGGATGCCCATAGCCCAAGAGTTAATAACAAGATCATTTTAAACATTTAAAAGTTTACTGTAAAATAAATTCATATTTATTTTCAATTAATAGTATGTTTCAAATAACTTTTTATAGATAAAATCATTCATAGTCTTGTTTTTTCTTTATTCTTTTAGCCTACAAATCTAATTGCCCCATTTTAATGTTGTCAATATACATACCTGAGATCACTAAGATTTATTTGTAAACTTGATTAATACAGAAAAACCAAGTGGTCAACTTGTTTCACATACTTGGTTGCCGCAAAAGGAAGAAAACCTTAAGTAAGTCTACTAAACTTGACAGACCAATTACTTGGTCCATGCTAGCAGATGCCCACAGAGAAATATTCTTGAATAGGCAAGATCTGGGGTGCTTTCACTCCAGAGATCCTGCATAGTCTGAGTATTAGTCTCATCACCAGTCTTCATGTCACTTTGGTAAAAAGGGCAATCTATGAGAAAAGTACTTCTTTTAGCATCATGGTTTCTACATACACCCTAAAAAAGAAATTTAACATAAAGGAATAATGTTAAGTGAAAGAAGGAAGGAAGGTAAGCAGGTAGGCAAGCACATATTGAATATGGAAAGACTGTTCCCTCCAATCTTAAAGGTACTGTGACAAATGACACCTAGTTTGGTTCCATAGCTTGGCTATTGTGAATTGAGCTGCTCTAAATATTGATGTGGCTGCATCACTTTCATATGCTGATTTTAAGTTCTTTGGATATAGACTGAGGAGTGGGATAAGTGGATCAAATGGTGGTTCCACTCCAAGTTTTATCAGGCATCTCCATACTACTTTCCAGAGTGGTTGCACCAATTTGAAGTCCCACCAATGACATACAAGAGTACCTTTCTCCCCACATCCTTGTCAACATTTATTGTTACTTGTATTCTTGATAATTACCATTCTGACTGGAGTGAAAAGGAATCTCAGTGTAGTTTTAATTTGCATTTCTATAATTGCTAGAGATGTTGAACATTTTTTCATATATTTTTAACCATTTGTATTTCTTCTGTGAGGTGCTTGTTCAGTTTCTTTGCCCATTTATTGATTGGGTTATTTGAATCAACCTAGGTGTCCTTTAACAGATGAATGTATAAAGATATACATAATGGAATACTACTCAGCCATAAAGAAGAATAAAATTATGGCATTTGCTGGTAAATGGATGAAACTGGTGACTATCATGCTAAGTGAAATGAGCCAGTCCCCCAAAACCAGAGGCTGAATTTTCTCTATATGTGTATGCTAACCCACAAGGGTGGATAAGGAGGGAAAGAACAGAAGTTCATTGGATTAGACAAAGGGGAATATAGGGAAAAAAGTGAGGAGAGAAATAGGAAGGACAGTAGAATCAATGGAACATAACTTTCCTGTCCTTGTATTTGAATACATGACCAGGGTAAATCTGCATCCTATTCAACCACAAGAATAGGATCCTAATTAGAATAACTTATAATTCATGTATGTAAAAAATGTCAAAATACATTCTACTGTCATTTATATCTAAAAAGAACAAATTTAAGAAAAGATTATCATTGTGGTTCATGGTGAGAGAATGAACCTAGGTATTTCTTGTCCCTCCACAAATTTCAATGAAGTGACAGTAGAAATACGAATCTAAAATCATACCTTTAGCAAAACTATAAGTTAGGGATGTACTACCAGCATATAATAAAAATGAATTTATGGATGATATAAAGAATGTTTAGGAAAGACTGATAAAGAATTGCAACAAGGCTGAGAATCTGCCGACTCAGCAAAGTAAAAATGTTAAGTGCAACAAATTCTTACACTTTCCCCCTCTATGCCATTTTACATGGGATTATGTGACAATTAGTGTGTTCTTCCTTTTGGTTCACCAAAGTGACCTTTATTTGCTTCTATTATTTAGACTAATTACTGATTATATAATTTCCACCCGATCTTCTCCCCCAAGATGTATTATCTGCTTTAAGTCACTAAAGATAAAAACTAAAATAATTTTAAAGTTCTCTTTGTTTACAAAGTTAATTTTGTTTCCCCGCAAGTTATATTGTTTTAAGTTTGATGCCTCTTTGTACTTACATTGGTTATTCTTCAATGTTTGATTCTTCATTATTTATTTTTATAAACAAGGGTCTTGACAACTAAATATTGTTAGCTGGATTGTATTTCAAGAGACAGTGTTCAACTGGCTCTGAGGGTGAAAATGATTAATGAGTATATGAGCACTGGGCACTGTCAGGTTGGCATGTGTAGGTAGCATGCTGTTATGGTTTGGATGTGAGGTGTCACCCCAAAGCTCACATGTGAGACAATGCAAAGGGTTCAGAGGGGAAATGATTTGTGAGAGCCTTAAGCCAGTCAGTGAATTAATCACTGGATGGGATCAATTAACTGGTAACTGAGGGCAAATGGAGTGTCTCTCTCTCTCTCTCTCTCTCTCTCTCTCTCTCTCTCCTTTCTGATCATCACGTGAGCTGCTTCCCTCTGCTACATTCTTCTGCCATGTTGTTCTGCCTTACCTGGAGACCCTGAGGAATATAGCTGGCTGTCAATCAATAGACTGAGACCTCTGAAACTGTGAGCCCTCAAATAAACCGTTCCACCTCTAAAGTTTTTGTTTTTGTTTTTTTCCACAGGAGCAAAAAAGCTGACTGAAACAGAAATGGTACCAGAAGTGGTTTGTGGCTGTGACTAACCTGACCTTGTAGTTCAGAAGATTTTGAAGGTTTTGGAATTGATGGGGGGATTTTGAGATGCTTAGCAGTGCAAACTAAAAATGCTTTAGATTGTTTTAAGCAGAGCTTAATGGACGATTCTGATGGGAGCTTAGAAGACCAGGATGCCAATAAGACTGTGAACAGTGAAGACAAGGCTCAAGAGGAAAAAGAGGACATGATTGGAATTTGAAATGGGAACTATTTGTATTATGTTCTGGATGAGAAGTTGTCCACATTTTGCTCATGTCCTGAAACTTTCTGTGAAGGCGATTTTAAATGTGATGGGCTTTTTCTTTTTTTTTTTTTTTAATTATTTTGACTTATACATGACAGTAGAATGTATTTTGATGTATTCTATGTACTTGGAGTATAACTTCCCATTCTTATGGTTGTACATGATGTGGAGTTACACTGGTCATGTATTCATATATGAACACAGGAAATTATGTACGATTCATATCTCCCCTCTCTTCCTTCTCCCCATCCCTCCTTGTCCAATCTGATGAGTCTCCTAAAAATGATGGACTTTGTACTTTGATTTTAAAAGTGATGAACTTCTTAATTTTGCAGAAGAAATGTCTAGGCAACATAGCATTCAGGCAGTGACATGGGTATTTCTGGCAGCTTTTAGCCAAATTTATTGTAATAATCAGGAGCAGAAAGCAGAGCAGAAAGATTTGAAAAACTTGGACTGAGACCTCTGAAACTGTGAGACATCAAATAAACTTTTCTTCCTCTAAAGTTGTCCTAGTTAGGTCTTTTAGTCACAACAGTGAAAAAGCTGACTAAATCAGTAAGTGGGATGGAATCAAACTAAAAACTTTCTTCTCAGCAAAAGAAACAATCTGTGAGGTGAATAACAGACAGCCTACATCCTGGGAGCAAATTTTTACCCCTTACAATCAGATAGAGCACTAATCTCTAGGGCATATAAAGAACTCAAAAAACTAAGCACCCAAAAAACCCAAATAACCCAATCAACAATGGGCCAATTGCCTGAACAGACACTTCTCAGAAGAGGGTATATAATCAATCAACATATATATGAAAAAATGCTCATCATCTCTAGCAATCAGAGAAATGCAAATCAAAACTAAGATTTCATCTCACTTCAGTCAGAATGACAGCTATTATGAAGACAAACAACACTAAATGTTGGCGAGAATGTGGGGAAAAAGGTACACTCATACATTGCTGGTGGGACTGCAAATTGGTGCAGTCAATATGGAAAGCAGTATGGAGATTCCTTGGAAATTTGGGAATGGAATCACCATTTGACCCAGCTATCCCTCTCCTCAGTCTATATCCAAAGTACTTAAAAACAGCATACTACAGGGACACAGCCACATCAATGTATATAGCAGCACAATTCACAATAGCTAAACTGTGGAGCCAACCTAGATGCCCTTCAGTGGATGAATGGATTAAAAAATGTAGCATATATATAAACAATGGAATTTTACTCAGCAATAAAAGAGAATAAAATCATGGCATTTGCAGGTAAATGGATGGTGTTGGAGAAGATAATGCTAAGTGAAGTTAGTCAATCCCAAAAAAACAAATGCCGAATGTTTTCTCTTATATAAAGAGGCTGACTCACAGTGGGGTAGGGAGGGGGAGCATGGGAGTAATAGATGGATTCTAGATAGGAAAGAGGGGTGGGAGGGTAATGGAGGGGGCAGGGGATTAGCAAGGATGGTGGAATGTGCTGGACATCATTATCCAAAGTACATGTACGAAGACACGAATTGGTGTGAACATACTTTATATACAAAAAGAGATGAAAAATTATAGTATATATATGTAATAAAAATTGTAATGCAAAACAAAAACAAAAACAAAAAGTACATGTATAGAGACATGAATTGGCATGAACATATTTTATATACAAAGATATATAAAACAAAAACTTGCTTTTTGAGTGGGTACACTTGCTTATTTTTCCATACCCATAGTCAGGGAATTTTTAATCATTAAAAGTCTACTTTGAGATTACCTCTCATCATATTTATATTTCCATACTTGTGGCTTTATTCTATACTTAGGAAAGTTAGCTGTTTTAAAAGTAAGGCCAATGCAATTGTTCTACCAGCCTATAATTGATTAAATGACTAGAAATACATAGCTTATTCCTTCCAGTTCCCTACAACCTTTCTCTTGGGCTTATTTTAATATTTTTTTTGGTTTGGAGGATGTTTTCCATCTCTACGGAATTGCAGAGTCCACTTTGTTGGGATTTGCCATCCTAATTATCCTATTTCTTTTATATTGTCAAGAAATTCACATTGATTAGCCTAAAACAACAACAACAAAAACAAAAACAAAAAAAAAAACTTGGGAATCAATCTAACAAATGAGAAAAAAAGACCTCTATAATGAAAACTACAAAACACTAAAAAAAGAAATTGAAAAAGACCTTAAAAGATGGAAAGATTTCCCATGCTCTTGAATAGGAAGAATTAACATTGTCAAAATGTGTTGCAATACACAACTAAAATGGTCAGGGTCACACCAAGTGAATTTTGGTGGAATAAATAAAGACACAGACACAGAAAGTACCTTTTCTTTGGGTTCAGTGACAGGTCCTCAGCCATAGCTTCCACAAAGGGGGCAAGGCAGGCAATAAAGAGAAGGAGAATAACTCAAACCTAGGTTTTATTGGGGAGAAGCCATTCAAATAAGGCAAGGGGTCAGGTTTCAGGGGGTTGAGTCTAGCTTTGTGATGTCTTGCTGTCAGCAGATTGACTGACATTTTGGGAGGTCACACCCATCTCATGTGTGTGAGAGCAAGCAAAAGAGACACATATGTTCACAGCCCAGACAGAGCAACAGCGTCAGTCCAGTCTGCTTTGTGAACTAAAAATGCTCACAGATCATACACACAACCCATGGCTGGCTTGCTACAAAAATGCCCATACTACCAAATGTGTTATATGGATTTAATGCAATTCCCGACCTTAAATTATACTACAGAGCCATAGTAAAGAAAAAAAAAATCATGGTATTGGCACCAAAACAGATATGTAGGTAAAGAATACAAGACTCACAGTCAAACCCACATATATAAAGTTATGTCATACTAGACAAAGGTGCAAAAAACATACATTGGAGAAAAGATAGCCTCTTTAACAAATCATGCTGGGAAAACTAGAAATCCATGTGTATCAAAATGAGATTAAATCCCTATCTTTCACCCTGCACAAAAAAATCAACTCAAAGTGGATCAAGAACTTAGGCATTAGAACAGAGACCCTATGCCTAATAAAAGAAAGTAGACCCGATTTTTTTCACCATGTTGGCTTAGGATCTGACTTCCTTAACAAGGCTCCTAAAGCACAAGAGGTAAAATCAATAATCAATAAATGGGATGGATTCAAACTAAAATGCTTCTCAGCAAAGGAAACAATAACGTGAAGAGAGAGCCTACAGAATGGGAGAAAATCTTCACCATATGCACCCCAGACAGAGCATTAATCTCCAGGTAATACAAAGAACTCAAAAAACTTAATACCAAAAAAAAAATAATAATAATAACCCAATCAATAAATATGCTAAGGAACTGAACAGGCACTTTACAGAAGGAAAAATACAATTGATCAACAAATACATGAAAAAATGTTCAACATCTCTAGTAATTAGAAAAACACAAATTAAAACTACACTGAGATTCATCTTATTCCAATCAGAATGGCAGTTATCAAGAATATAAGCAAAAATAAATGTTGGTAAGGATATGGGGAAAAAGTACACTCATACACTGCTGGTGAGACTGCAAATTTGTGTAACCACTCTGGAAAGGAGTATGGAGATTCCTTAGAAAACTTGGAATGGACCCACCATTTGATACAGTTATCCCACTCAGGTTTATACCCAAATAACTTAAAATCAACATACTACAGTGATGCAGCTATAAACATCAACTATAAACAGTAATGCAGCCACATCAATGTTTATAGCAGCTCAGTTCACAATAGCTAAACTATGGAACCAACGTAGGTGCCCCTCAACTGATAAATCTATGAAGAAATTGTGGTGTATATACACAATGTAATATCACTCAGCCTTACAGAAGAATGAAATTATGACATTTGCCAGAAGTGGGTGGAACTGGAGCCTATTAAGGGAAATAAGTCAATCCCAAAGAACCAAAGGCTGAATGTTTTCTCTGATATGCAGATACTAATTTACAATAAGGGGAGGAGGTGGCTAGGAAGAATAGAGGTACTTCGGATTAGACAGAGGGGAGTGAAAGGTGGGGAGAGGGTCTGGGAGTAGGAATGATAGTAGAATGAATCGGACATAATCACCCTATGTGTGTATATGATTACATGACCCGTGTAACTCTGTATCATCTACAACCAGAAGAATGACCTGTGTAACTCTGTATCAATTACAACCAGAAGAATCAGGACATAATCACCCTATGTGTGTATATGATTACAAGACCTGTGTAACTCTGTATCATCTACAACCATTTATGTATGATGTGTCAAAATGCATTCTACAGTCATGTATAACTAATTAGAACAAATCTAAAAAATAACAACAACAACAACAACAACAACAACAAAGAAATTCACATTGCTGATGATGTCCTTCACTGCTTTTAAAAGTTGCTATGGATTTATTACCGTTTTATATTTTTCTGTCATTTAAACAGAAGCTTGGTAGAGAGGAAATATAAAAACAGTCAAAATGTTCAGTGAGCTCTCTTGAACAAATATATAAATTTCTCTGTCACTTCATTTGCATTATCTGAGCAATTAAACAAATCTAATGGGACTTTCTGGTTTACTAAGATGAGAGCCAATTGTCTTAATTCCAATTCTATACTCCATTGATGTTTTAGTAAATTCATCCAGCATCTCCTTTTCCAATCAAGCTTAAGTATACTAACAACTCCCCTCTCACTCACACACCTACTTCTTCTTTCTTTTGCATTTCTTTCTCTCTTGAGCTTCTTCCTTTTTACTACTATGGATGATAAATCTCTTCTATTATAAAGCAGTTTCCTCCATTTTACCTCCTCCTATCCTTTAGAGATACTTTTCACAGGAAAAATAGTATTTTCTCATTAGTGAATCATTTTTTGTTTATTTACTTATGATGGGCCTTCAGTTGTTTTATAGGAGACCTATTTTTTTCTGTAAGCTTGTCATGAAAATTTTTCTTTCTTTCATCTTTCTATTATAATGTTCTATATCAAAATTACATGAATGTTTCTAAAAAAATTCCTATAAAATTGACAGCACTGTGAAGCTAATGGAATTTTCTTTAAGTATTTTCTATTATACAATCAAAACCATGTTCTTTTCTTCTTTCCTTTTTCACTTCAAAGTTTATTTCAAAATAATTAGAAAATGCAGTTAAATATTGGTAAATTTCCCTATTTAGTCTCATGTAAGCAAAACAACAAAACCTCCAGTGTTTGGTTGTTTGAGATTTTGTTTGAAACCATGTTTTTTTTTTTTAAATTTAAATTAAAATTTTTTTTTGTTTGTTTTTGGAACTGGGAATTGAACTCAGGGGCGCTCGACCACTGAGCCACATCTCCAGCACTTTTGTTAGAAACAGGGTCTCACTGAGTTGCTTTGCACCCTGCCTTTGTTGAGGCTGGCTTTGAACCTGCAAGCCTCTTGCCTCAGCCTCACAAGCTGCTGGGATTACAGATGTGCACCACCATGTCTGATTTGAAACAGTGTTTTTTAAGGATAAAAAAAAATGGCCAAATTAGACCATTT